CGCCGTGGTGGGGCCAAGATCAACATGCATCTCTCTACAACATACATAGGCATGTGCTCTTAAGATGGAGACAACACAAAACCAAGAAGTTTTTTTTGGCATTTGGTGCCCTAAAATATCAAAGGAAAGATACTGAAATTTATGGAATACTGTAAGGGACATTCTCGCGATCTCGCATTCTCGTGTTTTGGGCATATTTACCTCGTTTCCAAAGGTCGAGATCGCGAGAATGCGAGATCGCGAGAATGTCCCTTACAGTATTCCATAGAAATTCGAATACTAATATTTTCCTGAAGGAAAGACACAAGAGACAAATGACCCAACGTTAGTATGAATTACGGTATTCAATGCACAAGGGTGTTGAGATTTTTGAAAGCTAAACCACAAAACCAATAACATAGAGGATTACACATCTGCATTTTCGCAAGTAATTTAGTTACCTTGAAAAGTTTGGTGATATAAGAACGAATGGTCAAGCATACGAGCTCCGTTCCCTCAATAGCGTTTAGGTTCCAAGGGTATTGCTTAGTCGCATGTGAGACTCTGTGAAGACTACTGTCTATAGACATCATCGACCAGGAGCTGTGCCTAATGCAATGGTGCCACACATAACTTTACTACCCCAGTGCAGTTGGGTCAATTCAAGTCATTTATTCCCAAAACCATCCATGGTGGTACAAGAGCATATTTCACAGCATATTTACAATTATGGAAATATGACACGTGATGAAAGACTCATAAACTAACAGTATGATATACATTATCAGCGAGAATAACTGAAATATATTTAGCCAGTATGGTTTTACGCCGCGTTTAGCAATATTCCAGCAATATCAGGGCGGAAGACACCAGAAATAGGCTTCACTCATTGTACCCATGTGGGAAATCGAACCCGGGCCTTCGGCGTGACGAGCGAATGCTCTAACCACTTGGCTACCCCACCGCCCCTATATTAAGAAAGTTTCTTGATATCTTGTAGTCTTGTCGTTAATTCTAAATTTTAAATAGGCTTAGACAAGAAAATATTTTGCTGTAAATACATATATCTATGAGAGTTAAAATAAGGACGTTTAAGTTGTCAGTATAATTCGCCTGCAATAGATAGCTAGTCGCATGACGGCATGTTCTGTCCCCGCGGGGCAGACCACGCCATCTGCCTGTCTCTGTCGGTAAATTATGATAGGAGGCTCTGTAGTTATGCAAAGGCATTGACATATTGTGGGGAAGTAATAATAATTTCTCGAAAGAAGCACGGCACATAAACGGTGGAAGATCTCCAGGGCTCTATCGGGTGGCATTAAGCCTCTGGTTGGTACTCCTGAAGGTTCTGGAACCGTGCAATACCCTTGAGGGTGCCATGCTTAACGTCCATGGTAAACATATTTATGGGGATTAGTGTAGTCTTCCTGATAGCCTAGTGCTCACGAGTGCTTACTGCAGGTTAGAGTGGGTATTGACTCCGTACATTAGACACCTTTTGGGACCAGGGACCTTTTGTTTTGTGCATTTTTTTAACGTCAGAGTTTGCTGTTTGATGTTTTGCTGTACTGTCAGTTGGATGCTGATTGACGAGTTGGGGAGGGTTGGTGTTTTGGGGTATGGTGCGTGTGGGTGGTGGGTGGACGGTGGTGGTGGGGGTGGTGGGGGTGGGGGGGGGGGGGGGGGGGTGGTTCATTTCGGGTAAGTAGCTTATGACTCTCAGACATAAAACTTGAATAATACGCCACAAGATTCCGTTGCCTTAAGAAACATTTGTTCGGATATGTGTCCGAGATAAAGTATCCATTTTAAACAGAGGGTTAGCACATTGGAAACGAGGATAAGCCCGCACTAGCACAAGGCTACCTTCACCACCACAAACACACACGCGCGAGCACCCACACGACCATTGCTACACTTTACAGCCCTTTATACGGAGTGCGACCATTGCTACTCTGAACACCCCTTTATACGGAGTGCGACCATTGCTACTCTGAACACCCCTTTATACGGAGTGCAACCATTGCTACTCTGAACGCCCCTTTATATGGAGTGTGACCATTGCTACTCTATACGTCCCTTTATATGGAGTGCGACCATTGCTACTCTAAACGCCCCTTTATATGGAGTGTGACCATTGCTACTCTATACGTCCCTTTATAGGGAGTGCGACCATTGCTACTCTAAACGCCCCTTTATACGGAGTGAGGCCATTGCTACTCTATACGTCCCTTTATAAGGAGTGCGACCATTGCTACTCTGAACGCCCCTTTATACGGAGTGCGACCATTGCTACTCTGAACGCCCCTTTATATGGAGTGAGGCCATTGCTACTCTGAACGCCCCTTTATACGGAGTGAGGCCATTGCTACTCTGAACGTCCCTTTATACGGAGTGAGGCCATTGCTACTCTGAACGTCCTTTTATACGGAGTGCGACAATTGCTACTCTGTGCGTCCCTTAATACGGAATGCGACCATTGCTACTCTGAACGTCCCTTTATACGGAGTGAGGCCATTGCTACTCTGAACGCCCCTTTATACGGAGTGAGGCCATTGCTACTCTGAACGTCCCTTTATACGGAGTGAGGCCATTGCTACTCTGAACGTCCTTTTATACGGAGTGCGACAATTGCTACTCTGTGCGTCCCTTAATACGGAATGCGACCATTGCTACTCTGAACGTCCCTTTATACGGAGTGAGGCCATTGCTACTCTGAACGCCCCTTTATACGGAGTGAGGCCATTGCTACTCTGAACGCCCCTTTATACGGAGTGAGGCCATTGCTACTCTGAACGCCCCTTTATACGGAGTGAGGCCATTGCTACTCTGAACGTCCCTTTATACGGAGTGAGGCCATTGCTACTCTGAACGTCCTTTTATATGGAGTGCGACAATTGCTACTCTGTGCGTCCCTTAATACGGAATGCGACCATTGCTACTCTGAACGTCTGGTAGGTCATGTGTGATGTGAACAACGTCGGACCTATTCGGAAACGTAACACACCCCTTAACTAAGGGAGATAACTCTACAAGAGGAGTTATCGTTTGTGTTATTTCCATGTTTGAGTGAGTATTGTTCCACGCCGAATCAGTAGTTTTGCGTTTTATGTCCGAGATATTTTAAAAAGTCGCCTCATGTTAAACTGAAAGAGCACTTAGATAACCTTTATAGGCAATTTAGCCCAAGACCGATCAATAACGTCAGGTGACATTAACTCCCCTGTTGGTGTTACCATGACATTATATGTGCAATGTATCACTGCCGATATAAGCCGAAGAAGCATCATTTCAAAGTATTTAACACTTTAATACATTAGAAAAATAAGGCCTGAACTCTATTCATCTTAACAGTAACATAATCCCCAAGTCAGCGTCTGCATGATCCGAGTGTCATCTGCCCCCGGACTTGACAGATCAGCTGGTAGAAGATATCTGATAAAATTACTTTAAGATCGCCTGTGGCCTTGTCGTGATTGATGATGCAAGGTTGCCCCGGAATGTCCGCGGAGTATTTTCAGAAAAAAACCCAGTAGGTTGTTCGTTTGAAATGAATACCTCGGAGATATTAAGGAGTTTTAGTGAACAAAACGCAAATGGTGCTGCTAATACAATTTTGAAACGCATTTATCAACTGTGTACACTGTGACAGAACGCGCATGAGGATGAGGATGTGGGAGGGATGCTGGTCCACCAACGAGCAACAGAACACCGGACAGATGTGCCATCGAAGTTGTTTGATTGCACTTTGACGTTATGATAAGAGGGACAGAACCTCGGATTTAGTTGTGATTGTTTAACATTTTCAAGGGATCTAACGGCCATGTTATATAAAGGTCAGTTGACTTTTACAACATTGTGGCGGTGAAGGTAGCCTAGTGGTTAAGCGTTCGCTCGTCACGCCGAAGACCCGGGTTCTATTCCCTACATGGATACAATGTGTGAAACCCATTTCTGGTGTCTTCCGCCGTGATATTACTGGAATATTTCTAAAAGCGACGTAAAACCATACTGGCTAAATATATTTCAATAATTCGGCTGAAAATGTATATCATACTCTTAGTTTATGAGTCTTTCATCACGTGTAATATTTCCATAATAATAAATATGCTGAGAAATATGCTCTTGTACCACCGTGGATGGTGTTGAGAATAAAATGACTTGAATTGACCCAACTGCACTGAGGTAGTAAAGTTATGTGTGGCACCATTGCATCAGGCGCAGCTCCTTGTCGATGATGTCTATAGAAAAAAGTCTTCACAGATATTACTGGAATATTGCTAAAAACGGCGTAAAACCATAATCACTCACTCGCTTACAACATTACTGGAAGCTTCGAACAAGTACATGTGAGTACACAAATAAGACATTATATAGACACGAATATTAGACAACAACGTAAGGAAGAGTGAGTGAGTATGGTTTTACGCCGCTTTTAGCAACATTCCACCAATATCACGGCGGGGGACACCAGAAATGGGCTTCACACATTGTACCCATGTCGGGATTCGAACCGGGTCTTCGGCGTGACGAGCTAACGCTTTAACCTCTAGGCGACCCGACCGCCCAACGTAAGGAAGAAAAGATGTTGAAGACGCGTCTACAAGTTATTTTCTTGCAAGTCCCTGAAGAGAGGCAGTTTGTCCAGGCAGGTTACGTGACATGGGCTGGGATCTTGTCAGAGACAGATTACTGTTTTTAGGTCAGCGCTTCAAGACAATTGTTTTTTTCTTTGAAAGAATCAAAAAACAACTTTTGGGTACCACAACAAATTACTTTGCAGCACACCCTCTATGTCAAATGAACTTTTTTTCTTTCCAGCATTATCGGGGACAGATGTTTTGGTTTTCATGATCTCACCGCCCCACCACCAAAAAATACCAAATGGTCGCCCCCTAAATGAAGTTCTTCATAAATTGCGAAAAAAATGTATTGAAATTATGTATGGCGCGATTCCTGTATTCAAACTGGCAAATTCTTTGGAAAGTGGACAAACAACATAGAACAGTTCCTATGGTATATAGTTTTATTCTCACATATTCAATTATTCACAATAGTTATAATGTTAACGACTGCTTTCTGTATCACAATAAGAAATCTACAGGCTAGCGGTTGGTAATGGGTCCTGAGGGGAACACTCAACAACGAACAACAGCGGGTAGGAGAACAGCGGTACTGAGATGAATATACAGTCGTGAGGAAAGTACGATTTCATATGAACCATGTATATACATAATGTGTGGTGACCAACATAAGATTCATTGCTTGTTCCTAATGCGTGTTGACGTGACATACTACGCGACAGACAACTAGCTATATTCATTCCATTGGTTGAGGAACTTGATACGTAGAATGAACCTCCCTGGGTTGAGATATAACTTTGGATAACATAGGAAGCTGGCAAAACACGCCTTTATTTCTATCGGAAATAATATATATCTAGTATTATCAAAGAAATGATTTTGGTTTAAAACGGCTTTGAACAGTATTTCATACAGTTTTTCTTGGAAAGAACACCCAACGTGACACAGGACGTTGTCGGTTACAACTTTGGTGAGACCAACGACCGCAGGTTTGGTGCTGACAGACCAAGGATCCTTATCAGGGTTAATCTTGGATTCAAACCACAATAATCGTATCCTGGCGTAACTACGGAATACAACTCCGCACGGCGAATTGTAGCTCTTTGGAGCACAGGCCCACCCGTGCCCTGTTATGATCAAGGAGTTTAGGTATCTACAGGTTGATTCTATTGAACAGCTAACGGCACACCTGGATTACCATCACGTGACCTTTAGTCGTAATCGAGTTTTCCAGACACACGCACCTTATCATTCATAATTTCTGTACATTCAGGGTGGGACAAATATGTCCATGGGTTCCAACCGTGTGTCAATGACATGTTCGCCCTCATGAATGTGGACCTATATTGTTTGTTTGTTGTTTAACGCCGCACTCAGCAATATTCCTGCTATATAACGGGGGTCTGTAAATATTCGAGTCTGGACCAGACAATCCAGTGGTTGACATCATGAGCATCGATCCGCACAATTAAGATACCTTGACATGCATCAACCAAGTCAGCAACCCTGACCACCCGACACCATTAGTCGCCTAGCATGGGTTGCTGAAGACCTATTTTAACCCGGGCTCCACGGGTAACCTATTTTGTATCACCTAGGATCCCGATATATGCATTCCAAGCGACTTTGAGTCTTTCCACACTAAAGGGTACTGTCATCCTCCGATTGTTCTAGGCAAACTATGTCATGGAATTTGACAGTCGCCTCGAACTGAGGACAAATAACAACGATGACCTGTGATTAACCCAGTTTGAAAAGTGACAATTTATAAGACGCATTAACAAATGGTTTTGACACTACCATTCTTCAAAACAAGGTTGAAAATGAGGAACGAGTGATGAGTTTCATGTTACTATTTTTATCGAAAAATGTCTCCGATACTACAACTTGTATTCTTGTTTAGAATACATAATTATGTCAGACACAGTGTACCATGTTATGTCAGACCACTCCTAAATAAAAGCGACAAAACCCTTTCCATATTCATAAGGAATCTGTACTAAAAGCAGAGTCGATTGTAAGATTCCGATTATATCAAGACAAATATAAGAAACAGGTAAAACATTGCATAATGGACCTGGGTAGGGTTACGGGAAATTCCGAAATCTCCCGAGTTGATGTCTGGATTTTCTACTTTCCCTCCCCGGTTATTTTCGCTCTTTGGGAGATGTCCACGATGCTTATGACATTGCACAACACATCTTCATAACCTTACACCCTACGATAACTACTGTCATCAGTATTCTCTCAAATCTAATTTCTATCTTATGCCACAATGCACTGATATAATATGTGTCCATCTTGTTTTACACATTGAGGCGAGACTTATTTAGACTGGTAACTTGGGCACCCTTCATTATCATGCCCTGATGTACATCTAGCACATTGTGGCTAGACTGTATTGCACAATGTACCTGTATTGCTCAGGGTGGATTAAGTTAAGTCTAACCTCGCTTATCCGGACTGCCCGGATAAACGAGTTTCCGAGTCAAAATAAACTCAATTATATAATGTTTAAGTCGGCTTGTTTTTAGATACAGTTTAACAAACGTGGTTATTTAAGTCTCGAAATCACCACTAAAATAAAATAAATGAGATTAAATGTATCTGCTGTTTCGACGACCATTGAATCAATTCGTTGTGGCTGAGAAAACAGCATTGTTAGAAAATATGCTTCGCGTAAAACAAACGATCGATCAAGGACTGCCGCTTGAATTGTTTGGAGGTAATATGGGTAGGAAACACGAAGATAGATATGAACACACACTGCACTGCAAAGGAGCTGTTCGACCATCAGTACCGTATTTGTTCTTGTAAATATCTTTTTTTTTAAATGTTTTTAACTTAAAATATAACTTTAAAATATGAACTAGGAAACATGAATTAATTCACAATATTTACATTAATACATACTACGTTATATGGACTAGGATAACTTTAGTATATTTTCAACAAGCTCTTCCTTTCTATATCCAGCTTGAAGCAAGGTCAAAGTTAATGACCTTGACCTGTAATGACCTTGACCCAAAGTAAATGTTTTCTTATTAGCAGGCTTTTCACAAAAAGGAAATACACATATACAGTTATCCCATTCTCTAATCAGCTGATTAAACACAGTATCGCATGGATTGCATGCTGACTCCGTGTTGCAAGTGTAACACGTGATTGTCGCATGACTGGTTGATAACATAAAAGACACTCCAATAGTATTCAGTGCAACACACATAACAACACAGTGTGTTCAAGCATGATGCAAAGTACATCGCAGTTACTGATCGTGGTAGCATATTGCCCATAACACAAGCATGTTCAGTGTGATCCGATAGGGTGGACACTTCAACGGATTGTTGAACATGTTAAGAACAACTCGCACATATATACCTTCTTTACACATCAATAATAGGTTAGCAGATTATTTGACATAAGCTCTCTGTAATCATTTCTATACATACCTATTTCATAAAATATGTCTATTGAATAATTTGCAAATCACACACTAGGACGTGGTAGCAATATACAACGGCTTCTTCATTATTTATATACGAGTTGCAAATAATAGCAAAAATAAATTTTGATATTTTGGCATACTGGCATAACAATTTACCTTAAATCTGCTAGATACAAAGCTTTTTTTCACTGCTACATGTTTTGCTTATTTGAGGACCGTTGCTGAGAACGAAACGGATCCAAACTGACAGACTGATACGGATATACCAACAACAGTTACGAGTATGTACATGGAACGTTGTATTTGGGGACGTTAAAACTAACGTCTTTAACATTCCATCTAGTAAACCATTATACAAATAACATACATACATTATATGATAATAAAATATACAAACATAACTTGTTTCCGGCATTTGTAACTGACTCCTGAAACAACGTAGTCGTCCAACTTTAACGTTAAACACAACAGTGATAAACCTACATAGTCATACACGAACATCGGTATACAGGGTGTTGCGTGTAAACACTAGTATCAAACAGCGACAACGGTCTGGTTTTGTGACTTCTACACCAGACATCAAAGGACAACGATGACTTGACTCGCAAACTCCTTGTAATAGGCTAAGAATACTGCATGGGTATAAGCTCACAAGGTTCTTGCTTAATGTCTGGACTTAGAACCGGTTAGAAAGTGCCCCTTTAGGCGTCTAGGGCGTCGGTTGTTCAAACTCAGCGCAATATGGCGGCGCAGCAAGCCACAAGCAGTCCGTTCGCTATGCAGTTTCATTCTTGACTTTCACACAAAGCGGAGGCGGTTTATTCAGTTACTACTAGTAACAAACTAGTAACAAACATCCAATCAGGGCGTTCGTTATATGTCTCATGTCCAATGGAAACCTTTGTTATGACCTCATTCGCCTCACAAGATCAAACCAATCATATTCTATGTTACATTCCAGTCACTGTATTGCAAGCCAATGAACGTCGCGGTCTCATCTGCTTTATCCCTGCTCTATAGTTTGGCACTTAGTGAAGATCAGCTAGCAAGTATTGCATACAAGAGTCAGTCGTGATTGCCGTCACCGAGAACTGATTGTCACGGACGTTGCTGCCAGCAACAGCAACAACGACGGGAGGCAAACGTTGCCAGCGCTATTGTACATCACGCCGAGGTTTGGCGCTCCAGGCTGTTCCCGTGGTGACTCGCGGGGTATATTTGTATTTGCAATCCGTCCATTATCTTGGGTGTCGATGTCATATCTGTTTGGCATGGCGCTGGTCAGCAGGCGGACAGACACGGTGACGGGCGATATGTCCGCGGGCTTGCACACCTTGCTCCGGGATCCTGGAGGAAGAACAGGACGTCATTATAACCTCATGAGAGCATTCATTTATAGGGAAACATTTCTGACAATTGTGTATACTTCCGGGATACGTCATTCTAATATGTTGGAGCAATCGGAAGATACACCCTTGAAAATGTTACAACCCCTCTGTGATTGACAAAAAAATGATCGAAACGAGCGTGACCGCAGGCGATTTCTTGAAAGGTACTTATTTACTGTCCTCCAGAGTGACGTCCCCTGACTGACCACATTCTATCAACTTTCTTTCCTCAATGTAGAGAGTGACCTCCCCCCAATCCAAATAAATCCACTTACTGTCCTCCAGGTAGAGAGTTACCTCCCCTGAATACAGACATATCTACATACTGTCCTCCAGGTAGAGAGTGACCTCCCCTGAATGCACACCTGTCTACACACTGTCCTACAGGTACAGAGTTGCCTCCCTTGAATGTACACCTGTCTACTAACTGTCCTCCAGGTAGAGAGGTTACCTCCCTTGAATGTACACCTGTCTACTAACTGTCCTCCAGGTAGAGAGTGACCTCCCCTGAATGCACACCTGTCTACACACTGTCCTCCGGGCAGAGAGTTGCCTCCCTTAAATGTACACCTGCCTACTTACTGTCCTACAGGTAGAGAGTTGCCTCCCTTGAATGTACGTCTGTCTACTAACTGTCCTCCAGGTAGAGAGGTTACCTCCCTTGAATGTACACCTGTCTACTAACTGTCCTCCAGGTAGAGAGTTGCCTCCCCTGAATGCATACATGTCAACTTACTGTCCTCCAGGTAGAGAGTAATGTACCCTGAATGCACACCTGTCTACACACTGTCCTCCGGGCAGAGAGTTGCCTCCCTTAAATGTACACCTGCCTACTTACTGTCCTACAGGTAGAGAGTTGCCTCCCTTGAATGTACGTCTGTCTATTCACTGTCCTCCAGATAGAGAGATGCCTCCCCTGAATGCATACATGTAAATTTACTGTCCTCTAGGTAGAGAGTTATCTTCCCTGAATACATACATATCTACATACTGTCGTCCAGGTAGAGAGTTACCTCCCCTGAATTCACATCTGCCTACTCAACTGTTCTACAGCAAGAGAGTTGCCTCCCTTGAATGTAAACGTCTACTTACTGCCCTCCAGATAGAGAGTTACCTCCCCTGAATGCACACATATCAATTTAGAGTTCTCCAGGTAGAGGGTAACCTCCCCTGAATTCACACATGTCTTCTTACTGTTCTCCAGGTGGAGAGTGACCTCCCCTGAAAGCACACATGTCTCCTTACTGTCCGCAAGGTAGAGAGTGACCTCCCCGGAATGCACACGTCTACTTACTGTCCTCCAGGTAGAGGGCTGCCTTGGGTTTAAGTATGTTGGAGTCGATCTCGACATCTGTGAGGACAGAGCACTGTGTTGTGGGCATTCTGTACATGGCCCTCCACGGCCACCTTCCCCCAGACACGTAGTTGGTGATCACCTGAAAATACACTCGGATAAGTAAACAAAGGTACACACAGGTAATCTTAGGTATACATCGTCTCGAGATCGGAGGTCGGAAGCCAAATGTAGTGAGTTGACAAACGGACAAGGAAGGTTTTGAGATACAACTTGTAGGATAGCCTGGAGTTCTCGGTTCAGAATCCTTCCTATTTTGTTGGTGCATAATAGTTAGGTTTATTGGCCACAGATCAGTACACGCAGGATTTTGCAGAGAGTGTGCGTCAGTATCAAAATATCGGCACAAGTTTAATAACGTTTACTTATATATAATTATATGCTCTTTTAGGCTTTGGAATAAAACGCGCTCAGAGAACTCGTCCATTCTTATAGAATGATTAGTACAGAATTCAGTTTTAATGCATATTGTTACAACTTTGAGACGAATAGTCATATGGCTGGGCTTTTTTAAAACTTCTACCCATGTATCCCCATGGACTCCAGTTGATGAGCATTGAAAACTTTCATTTTCCACTTTGTGGCAATCGTGGCGAAATATTTGTTAAACACACAAAGTAATAACGTCACCTGATTGTTAACGATAAAAGCCCGATTTCTCGACAGAGCGGAAGGACCGATTTCATGAAAAGAAACTAAGCTAGTGATTGGCAGATGCAACCACGTGCAACATCTATCAGCTGATCCAACGCGCACCTGTTCGTCGCGCAAAAACCGCCCTCTCTCCTTGTCAGCGACTTCCGACCAGGGTAATTGATGCAGGTATTTAATGCGCGGTAACCGCTCTAAATTACTATTGGTGCCACGACATCGCAGGAACGAGTGGTGCCATTGGTCACGTGCCTGTCATGGGTTTTACTGAAGACAATTGCACGGAAGATTACATCTTCTTTGAAAGTTGCTATTAAATTAATGGCCCCAGTTTCGTGTTTTAGCACCCAGCTGCAATTAATCGTACTGGTTTGGTGTGCTTGGAGTTCCATGTATGTTTAAAAGCAAGATGAAGCAACTAAAGTAATTAGCCAGTTGATACATATTACATGTTCATAATTAAACTGGTAATTGAGCATTCCTTGATACGTTGACAACCACGCTTAGAACGTTGTCGTGTGCCCATTCATCAGAAATATATTTTTTAACAGATTAAATCGATATGTATTTCCAGGTAATTCTTCCTGGTCAAGCCGAGTGTGTTGAATTAAAAACATGACAACCTTCTGGGAACATATGGGAATCTCTGTAGCAATGAACAAATATAAAGCGAAAACAATATTTAGGCCACCCATTTAATATTTTTCCTCCAAGTAACATTGTAAACGTTAGAGTGATGACACCAGCGGTTCGAGAAATGAATGGGTGAATTCATTCCAAACGTTAGAGTGATGACACCAGCGGGTCGAGAAATGGATGTGCATATTCGTCTCAAACATTAGAGAGATGACACCAGCGGTTCGAGAAATGAATGGGCATATTCATCCCAAACGTTAAAGTGATGACACCAGCGGTTCGAGAAATGGATAGGCATATTCGTCCCAAACATTAGAGTGATGACACCAGCGGTTCGAGAAATGAATGGGTATATTCATCCCAAACGTAACGTGATGACACCAGCGGGTCGAGAAATGGATAGGCATATTCGTCTCAAACATTAGAGTGATGACACCAGCGGTTCGAGAAATGAATGGATATATTCATCCCAAACGGTAAAATGATGACACCAGCGGTTCGAGAAATGGATAGGCATATTCGTCTTAAACATTAGAGTGATGACACCAGCGGTTCGAGAAATGAATGGGTATATTCATCCCAAACGTTAAAATGATAACACCAGCGGTTCGAGAAATGGATAGGCATATTCGTCTCAAACATTAGAGTGATGACACCAGCGGTTCGAGAAATGAATGGGTATATTCATCCCAAACGTTAAAGTGATGACACCAGCGGTTCGAGAAATGGATAGGCATATTCGTTCCAAACATTAGAGTGATGACACCAGCGGTTCGAGAAATGGATAGGCATATTCGTTCCAAACATTAGAGTGATGACACCAGCGGTTCGAGAAATGTGTGGGTATATTCATCTCAAACGTAACGTGATGACACCAGCGGTTCGAGAAATGGATAGGCATATTCGTCTCAAACATTAGAGTGATGACACCAACGGTTCGAGAAATGAATGGATATATTCATCCCAAACGGTAAAATGATGACACCAACGGTTCGAGAAATGAATGGGTATACTCATCCCAAACGTGAGCCCCCATCCTGGTTTTTGTTTGTTTGTTTGTTTGTTTGTTGTTTAACTCAGCAGTATTCCAGCTTTTAGACGGCGCCTCATAAAGATCAAGTCAGGATCTATCTGATCCTATATCGGATCCTATACATATATTTTTTAACAAATTAAAACGTTGTTGAACTAAAAACGAGAGGATCTATCTGATCCTGACTCGATCATTATGAGGAGCCGTGATTGTAATTATGACCCAGTGATTGATATTATGAGCCACGTTCCACACCGCTGAATTTCCTCGTATGACAAGAACAGATTGCCAATACTACCCCGGAATCCCCGCTGTAGCTGGACTATTTCAGAGAGTTGCGTTAACAACAAACAGACACAGCCACTGGCACATGCTGATAGGTGTTGATGGGAGAAGAGGACACGTTCTACATGCTCATCGGGTGATGGTAAATTCCGAAAGGAAATCTTCCCTGAAAGAGTGCAGGCTGAAATGAAATTCGGGTATATTTCCCTGCAATCTTACCGAATGGTATCAATGTTTATGAAATTGTTGAGTTTTAATAAGTTCTACTTCCATCCTGGTTTTCAATACAACCAAGTGTCCTCCGTCACTGGCGCCCGCCTATGATGTGTCCGCAGAGGAGGGATCATCAGTACAGTCTCGTAAACACCAACTCGCCTCCTCCTTTTCATGACATGTCGACTTCAATACCAGATTACGTACTGACACACAACACCATGACATCACTTCAAAGATGTACACACGAGGCCATGACGACCAAGTAACACTGCAACTATGAGGAGAGCCCCACACTCGAACTATTGATCTGAGGAACACACTCAAAATGCATCTGAAAAGCAGAGTGCGTTATATTCCAGCTATCTGTGATAACTCAGGATTATATATCAAACTTCGTACCACATCTATGTCTGATAGCCCAGGACTGTGCATTCATCTCCTATAACGAAGGACACTATTTTCAACTTTGTACCACATCTATTTCTCATAACCCATGTTTATATATTGAATGTGACATTCAACTAGTATCTCTAATAACGAAGGACTATACATGTATATTCAGCGTGGCACAACATCTATGTCAGGTAATTTAGACATATATTCAACGTGGCACAACATCTGTATCTAATAACCCAGACTTATACATTTCCAAAGTGGCACAACATCTATATCTGATAACCTAGATTTAAATATACAACGTGGCACAACATCTATATCTAATAACCTAGACTTAAATATACAACGTGGCACAACATCTATATCTGATAACCTAGATTTAAATATACAACGTGGCACAACATCTATATCTGATAACCTAGACTTAAATATACAACGTGGCACAACATCTATATCTGATAACCTAGATTTAAATATACAACGTGGCACAACATCTATATCTAATAACCTAGACTTAAATATACAACGTGGCACAACATCTATATCTGATAACCTAGATTTAAATATACAACGTGGCACAACATCTATATCTGATAACCTAGACTTAAATATTCAACGTGGCACAACATCTATATCTGATAACCTAGATTTAAATATACAACGTGGCACAACATCTATATCTAATAACCTAGACTTAAATATACAACGTGGCACAACATCTATATCTAATAACATAGACTTAAATATACAAGGTGGCACAACATCTATATCTGATAACCTAGATTTAAATATACAACGTGGCACAACATCTATATCTGATAACCTAGACTTAAATATTCAACGTGGCACAACATCTATAATATCTAATTAACCAGACATATATATTCAACGTGGGACGACATCTATGTCTGATAACCTATGACTAAACAGTTATCTATGATAACCCTGAAAGTATATATTCTACTTTGCAATCGGTTCTTGAGGAACTGCTCCTTAAACCGTCCGAATGCCACAGCAAGTCACTGCAGGTAACCGGGTCTGTCTTATTATTGATTAACAACTCATCTCATTAACAGCTCACTGATATACCGTAAATATGAAACGAAGATAATACGCAAAAGAGTATTTTACAGTTTTGGACAGACAAATCAGAACGACGCATGTACTCGTATAAAATCAAAATAAGAAAATTATTTTGGATTTAAATTGTAGAGTTTTAATTGGTCTCATGTATCAGCGCCTCGCCGTCCTTTTGTAGTCGATGGGATATCTATCAACAGTTTCAAACAATTACCCATTGTTTCAAGGTTAGAAGTGAACCCGCTTAGCATGATCAGTTTCAAAGGGAAACAGCAATGTCTGACTCTCTTTGCCATTGTCGGCATTGCTGTTATCCAACAATCGTGGAAGCCTTAACACAAACTATAACAATAAACAGGATCCTCGAGGTCGACGCCACCCTCAGCTACAACAACATCGTCGTTGGTCGGTATTAATGCCATTATCCTTCTCATTTCTCCACCTCTCCGTTCTAACGCCTTCCAAAGCTCGGCGGCAATCATAGAAGTTTAAATTCTCAATTGTAGCGGTCATGTCTCGCTTATAAGGCAACTGCTGAGATTATTCAATTAATCAGGTGAGCCGTTCTGAAAACGAAGATGTATAGAAATTTAGGATCGATTGCCTAATTGACTGACGGCTTTCTTGTTTCCTCAGCATTGTCGAACCGAAAACAGAGCCATGACTATCCACCAGGTGCCCGTTCAACACGTTGTACTTGTTGTTTTTAAGGAGATGTTTTAACTACCTCTAAAAGCTAGGTTTTTGTTTTTCTGCATCAATGTATAGCCATTTATGGATGAGCA